TGTTAATTTACAGAGGGTTGTCCCTGGCCAAATAGGATAGTTAATAATGAATTTCCATGCTGTTAGTGAAGATCTAGTGCTTGATGAAGAGTCAGCTTAAGCTGAATTGTTTTTATACCTATTGTGACTGGGTGACATGGAGTGATCCTGAGTGTTATAGTACCTGCTTGTTAAAGAGTAGTGACACAGGGACTTAAGAATTGGAAGACCTGGAATTAATTAGGTTGAAAACTAGTACTTAGTGATTAGATGAAAAGATCTAATAAAATCTAAGCAGTACTGTATGTAATGTCAGAGTAAAGTTTAATATGAAGAGCAGCCAAGAAAGAGGATTGTAAAATCTTTGAGAAGGGTATACCCTGAAAGAAGTAGGATCCTGGAGGGGGTCAGAAAGAAACTTATAAAATGCAAAAATCTAAGGAGACATACTGATTGAAATGGACTTTAGAGCAGTGGGTGTGTGTGCTAACAGATGTGCCTTTCCTACCACCCAAATCCATTTCTATTTTTTTTTTACCTGGGTACAGACAAGCAGTTCAATGATAATTGAATATTAAAAGTACTGTCAAAGAATTTTCTTTGTTTTTAATGCCTTATGAATAGATCTGCATATGTTGTGTATATCCTGTAAACACTACACTATATGTATATATTTTTTATATAGTGTATATAGTGATCTGAAACAAAGGAGGTCTAGAGAAATAAGGGGATATATTTAGGTTCACATAAATAGCATTTATATGAGGGTTTAAAATCCTGTTTTCTATATGACTAAGAAAACTCACTTCAGCCTTCAGGCACAGAAGTTCAAAGTGGTACCTTAATAAAATACCATTTAAATATCCTTCACAATCAATTAGACTGTGTTTGACATAATCATGGCCAATATTTAATCAGTGTGAAAAGAGAAATGTCTAATGCGTGATTACCCTGGAGTCATATAAGAAGTGAGAGACCAAGTAGTATTCTTTTATAAAATGCCTATCCCTTGAAGTATTGTACCACTGATTCCTGTTGACTGGTTTTATGTGCCTCCCAAGATAGAAGAGCTCAAGCCCTGTCAGGATGGGTTCTGGTTTAATCTTATCTGATGCTGTCTCCTTTTAGCATTTAACAGATTTTTGGAATAAGAAGTTGATAAGTATCATGTGTTTCATCTCTGTGTACGATTCTACAATGTACATGCAGTAGAGATGGGATTCTGATTTTAAAGATCAACTCAGAGAGTGAATATATAATCTGTTTAATAGCGTATTTTGCATTGTGATGCCAGTGCATAATTATCTACAATATGTTCTTCCAAAATGCCAAAGTGATTTAACTGTAATGTGCGTTTTTACCACAAATAGACAGGAATTTTGGTAAAACAGACTATGACACATGGCACAAACCAAAAGCCTAAAGAGTGTATTATTCCCATCTGAGGTCATGTGGATAGTTTGCTATCTCCCTTGACTCTGTTTCGTCTTACAGTACTAAGACTTCAGAAGCCTCTGGGCAGACAGACCTGTTTTTTCACCCCTCCTGAACCAACACAATGGAACATGCAATCTTACCAGAAAAGTTGCTATCGCCACTCCTATAATAAATCCTGCAATGACATCTGACCAATGGTTTCGGTATTCTGCTACCCGATTTATTCCAGTAAGAAATGCCAAGCACATCAACCCCAGAGACAGCACAGGCTTCGCTAATCTCGATCCTCTGGCTTTTACTGTGCTGGTGATGTACATCTAGGAAATAAAAACGAAGTTGTTTTTCAAGATGCTGCAGTGATAAAAGCCAAGCAACTGGATTAATCCCATTGATTGGTTTTTCAAAGTTCTTTAAAACATGCACTTCCAGCCACATACCGTACAAAATTAGCATTTTCTTTCACTTCTTAAAATTTTTCACTAGGAATAACAACACTCAAGAATCACAGTAAGTGCACCAAAAGGATTATGGAGTGTTGAGTGAAAATTTGGCTTAACCCGCTAGGCTGAGGGCTGACCTTCTGCCCAGAGGATGAGGAGGCTGGAACCCCCATGAGGAGTGAGGAGTGACCAAGGGGCAGCTGCAAAGGTGGAGGTGGGATGCAGAAAGACATATTGTATGTGAGGGAGAGAAGTATAGTATTTATAGAGTTTTAGGACAGGAAATGACATCTGGAGTGATAGCTAATTACTGACAGCCAAGTCTGATTGAACCTGGTTCTTGTCATCCCTGCCAAACTTTCGTTACAAACTCTACTAGGTTACTATCCCATTGAGAACCTGGGCTGTAAAAACATATTTAAAAGTGTGGTCTGAGGAAAACCAGGCAACTAAGAGTGTATGTATGAATCACTAAGCTTAATAAATAACTTGAGCTAAACGTGGATTTTTAAATGTCATGCTTCCAGTATAAATCATCTCAGAAAAGTACAGGATAACGTATTTTAACTATTTGACATTTGTAGAAAACTATACATAATGAAAGTAATACAGATCAGGTGTAGTGAAGATATTGATCACAATCTAGTGTATTCAAGAAAGTTATCAAGTAGATAACTCTACCAGAAGAAACACAGACCATTATTTTTGTGCATGTATACTTTGCCATACACAATATAAATGTATTTCTTGAAGATGAAGATAAAAATGTAATGAAATAATGGAAGGGCATTCATTGCTTTAGCCCGAGGGGAGTTGTGTACAGTACCTCTAGAATAAAAGCACTTTCATTCAATCCACAGATTAAAAGAGACAAAGCTGTTTTGTACTCAGTCAAATTATGTTTCCTCGACGTAAACACAAAAATTCATATCTAAACAGAAGGAACATTATAAACATCATAAACACATTCCGCTGTTGTCCTTGAAAGAGAAACAAAACCTTAATGTATTTTCATATCTTGACCATGTGTTAAATTAGAAAAGAGTGTACTGAAACTGCTTGTGTTTTTTTCAAGAAAAAACCCATATTCCAACCCTAATGACATGTCTTTTTATTTATGTCTTTTATATATAAAGTAAAGTAGCAGCCAACTGTATGTAAGACAAATGCTGAGATTCAACATTAAGATGTAAATTAAGCATTGCAGGATGACATTTACTGTATATTGGTCTCCAGATACAGCATGTGTAAGTCTCAAACTCTATAATAAATACTGTCTCACTTATTTACAAAGACAACTGAATTCTCCTTTCTGCAATATATACTGTAAGCAACAATTTGAAATCCTTCCTACACTGTCTGCAACCACACACTTCACACAAATATCATAATACACATACTGTACATGTACAGAGAATTTTCATCCTTCATCCAGCTTTAAATCTGACTGACTCCAGCCACTCTCATAGAATAAAAGGAAACTCTATTTTAACCAGCGAAAGGAGGGAATTCTTCTCATTGAGCAGCCCAGCTGCAACACCAGCAGATCCAGTGCCTGCTCCAGGAGGTGCTCAGAAGAGCAGCTGGTGCCGGCTGTAAGCTAAACAGGGAAAGCTAATAAAAAAGAAATGAACTCCCCAGAGCAGTGATGTCTATAAACCACCAGGGAAGGGCAGCAAACATAGGAGTGATATAAGATGAGTTCTATGTACAGTATTAGCAAGTTGTTCTTATTCTTTAAATTTTGGTTTCAGGTTATTTCTTGTGGGAAAAAAAATCTGCCAACATTCTGCCATCATTACACCCTTCGATGTAATGTTAATTCTCTTCAAAGGAAGGTTGTTTTCTTAGTGATACAAGAGAGTCATTTATGAAGGAGGTCTTTTGAAAGAGATTTATTCAGAACTGTCTCAACTCTCACATAGCAAGAACACATTATTTACATGATGTTAGTAAGCTCACTTTCTGAGCTTGTTGTCTACACTCACAAAGTTTGATCTTTACTAGTAAGTAAATTATTCACTTGCTTAGCCTTGAAATAAGGCCTTCTGTTTCTACCATGAGGAACAAAATACAACACACTGTAGAAACTAAAGCATTGGCAGGTGATTATGATGTAACTGGAATCAATCTAAGTTTGTTTTTGTTTTCCACAAATGGAAATTAAGAGGATGTACTTAGACGTTTTTTAACAATAAGGGTTTTGGGATTGTGGAACAAACTATCCAGCCGTACATAGATGGAAGTGATCCTCCTATCAATAAACTACAAGCAACCAAATAAATTAGATGGGGTGGATGGCCCCTCTCATTTGTAATATTTTTCCATTTGAATAACAGTGGCAGTTTTTTAGAGTATACTAAATAATTTCTCTCTCATGCCATGCATTTCCTAAATTTCCCATATTTTCCCTCATTGTTTCCACACGTCTTGACGTTTTCATGTCCAGCTTTTGCCACTGGCTTCATTTACTTTAATTGTGGCATGCTAGACAGCAATATTTTTTTAAGAAGATGCAAATGGATCATTTGCGATTGTAGAATTTGTAGAGGACATATTACTAATATAATTTCAGATTTGCGTCTTTCAATTTGGCATCAAGTAATGAATATAGGTTCATTTCATAGAATAAAATGTTCCATTTATTATAGAGACAGACATTTTTGATTACAGCAAGGCTGGTGTGTGGAATGAATGGAGAAGTTTGTGACTGTTCCCAAGAATATGATTTCAATAACAGTACTGTATGTCCAAAGAGAAAGCTGGATTTTAATTAAAGATAGAGAAATCTTTGTTGTAATCAAGTTCTAAAACAAATTTATCTTTAATTCCCTTCTTTCAATAGAGTGAATCTAATCAACCAAAACGATGAACATAGACAGACTTTCTTGTTTGGAAACCATTGCAATTTTTATTTCTCTACTATCACAGACAAAAGTATAGACATGTGCACTTACCGAATAGTGCTATTTCCATCACTTTCACAGGTAATTAGGAATTAGGTAACTCTATTTAGCAGATACAAAATAACCCAGCTTTGTACTGGGGTTTTAAGAATTATTTGGAAATTAGATTTTTTTAAATAATACATTTATTTAATTTATAATATTTGATGCTACATAGATATAAGCAACAGGAAGAAGATTCTTCACAATTACAAAAAAATCTTTTAGCTTTAGCAGTGTTATCAGTGTCCCACCAAAACTTTAGAATTCAAGGCCGCTGCATTTTGGAATATGTAAATGCTTTTAGAATGTACATGTCATGAATAGCAATAAACAAACATTTTAAACAATTAAATGGCTTTTTTATAGCTGGTGATAAACCAATGTATTTTAAAATCTGCTTTTTTGATTTCCAGAATTAAGAATAACAGCTTCTATCCTGGATAAAACCAGTGGAAAACAATATAACATCTGACCTACTTAATCTGTTCAGATGTTAAGGGTAAATAGTGCATGCAAATATTGCCTGTTGGGCAGAAAGTCTTAGTCAAAAGGCCCTGTGTGCTAGATGTCACAGATGAAGCCAATGCAGAGGCTAAAAATCATATTACTAATAATAATCCCCACTGAGTTACTAATTATTTTATCTTGAAACGAAAGAATGTCATTGTCATCTATTCTACACCCTATGCAGAATGATCTTTATTGAGTGATGTTCTTGTTAAGGAGCAAAAAAGACAGCACATTCCGACTAAGAAAATGAAAACTAAAGCACAAAAATGGCTTTAATCAATTTTTAAAGTGCCACTTCAAGCAATTCAATTCCTACGGCAGTGTATTTTAAAAGACAATTTTAACACCAGCTGTTACACATCACATCAGTTTTACCCATTTAGGAAAATTCACAGTATTAGTGTTTTTTTTTCTTCATTTTTTACTATTTGCCTTTAATCTAAAAATGGCTTTGGAGTGGGATATATTTTTGGAAATGTGATTATATATTTAAGACCTACTGTATACAGTATGCTAAGCAAATGTAGAGATATTTAAATAAAATTACCAAGAACTATCCATAAATGGTTTTAAAATGTCTTTAAATGTACAGTATACCATGTACTTTATAAACACTATTTTTTAATTCTCATTTACTTATGGGAAATCTTAACATCTGTATGCTAAGATGTAAAACACTATAACACAATTAAGAACCAATGAGCCTTATGACAAAAGAAAGCTGTATTTTCGGCTAACTGAGCATCAACAGAACCGGAATCATGTGTCCAACTTATTCCTAATCATCCAGAGATCTTGGTATTGCTAAAGACCAATGCATTTCTTTATTTGAATATTTTAAAATATTTTTTGTATACGTGTTACATGTTACATGTTACACGTGTTACATGAGACCTTTAAATATATTAAAAGCTTCCTTCTAAACTCAATACAGTAGAAGGTAGGTATATTTTAACCTTCCTTCTATATAAAGTTATTTAGCAGAATAGTTAGCAGTTGTCATTTCTAAATATACAGTACAAGGGCCATAGCAATTCATTATTATGGGTATTGTACCCACCATGTTCTTTAAGATTCTGTTTATAAAGCTAATGATTTTGAAGGTCTTCATATTACAAGTGTAAATGTTTTTTTGATGGAATGTTTATTAAATAGTCAGTTATGCCAACATACATTAAACAAGAAATTATTTTAAAATGTCTACTGCCATAAATTGTGTGACTGACACAGGAATGATTAACCTGTTCAACATAGAAGGGTTTTAGCTTTGTTGTTTGTTGTTTAGATTTGTTTACACTGTACAAAATTCACTTACTGGGTTCCCAAAACACAGCTGAAAGAGAGATCCCTGTTACAACAGAGAACATGTAAAATACTGAAGGATGATTGCTTTGTGAATTGGGAATTCAAGATATAATCTCCCGTGCACCATTTACAGAATAACTAGATGGAGCCTCAGTATGTAATCCAGTGTGGTATAGTCTAACGACAACCTCTCTTGTAAGTCAATAAAACCTTCAGAGAAGCAAACCTCAGATTTCAGGAACAGCCTGGTACAGTATGTGTAACCTTCATCAACATTTTTTTTTAATTCAAAAATAATTTTTCCGTGTTGAAAGCATGGAGACGAGCATTAATAAATTCTTAAATCATAAAGCATCAACTACTGTCAAATTGAACACTTTTGAAACTCAAGATGAAAATGAAATGACTAGTATTAGACAGTAGATGCTAACAATGTGTACTTACAGCTAGGTAGAGGGCTGCATAAACACTGAGTGCTGCCTCTTTTGATGGGAATGTCTTTCTGGCTCTTAAGATGTCATCTTCATTGCCTGTGCAGGCCTCCTGGTGACTGATGAACCGAATGGCCTGTTGACAGCCCAGAGCAGTGTAATTGGGTTTACAAACAGTGAGGAAATGTGGTGCAAGGTTCCCCGTCACAACCTGTCCAGCATTAACGAATATATCGGTGGCAAAAAGTCCAAATATATAGACACCTACAAAGAAAGAAACGAGTTACTATATGACTCACTTTACTATATATTCACTGTAAATGGCATTCCGATCTACCTCATACCTCAACAGGTATTACAATTCTGATCATTCAAAATGTTATCCCAAATCCTCTACAAAAAGTGTACAACTAGCACAAAACAAACCAGTGAAAGAAACTTCATCTTACCCAAATAAAACCCAATCAATTTTTTACACAAGAACGCAAATGTGATAGTACATTATATAATATTTTAAAATACTTCTCATGTAGGAATTATATTTCCATGTATTAATATATGTTCATTCAATAATTAAATCAAGTTTGGATATCATACTGTAAATATGTTTTAACAAATAAATTCACATGTTGTCTGTCTAAGATATTTGCAGGAAGTAGAATGCCATGCACTTTTTAAAGTATGTTCAACACTGTTCCCTATGGCCACTAATTTGAAATTTTCTATGCTTAGTTTATTAAGTTGACAATAGAAATATTTAAAGGAATCATAGGCAAATGTACTTGACATCTGCTTCACTATCTTAAATATTTTATTCAGTTCATGATCCGTATCTGTATGTTCAATTTTTTGTCATTACAAAGTTTAAACCAAAGTCATGTGTCTGTTGGCGTGTTAAAACTCATAACAAGTTTTCAGCTTAAATTAAATTGTTTTCATTTAAAAAGGAATAGATATGTTAACACTGGTAAAGGAAAGGAAGATGAACAAGAAACAAAGGGAGGATATCACTGAAGACATACAGTATCTATCACAAATCAGTTATAGATCCATAAGGTTGATTCACAGTTCATCTGCTCTTAAACAACAAATTATGAATTCCAGTTCAGTGCATTTTAATTGGACAGAAACTCTTCTTGAATTATTTTTGTGCTTACAGAAACTTTCAGTGTCACATGATCTAGAGACACCATTTTGAAGCACAAGCAGTAAGGGTTCGGTGTTGTCTTCCAACAGCAGGCATGTTGTGCCTTCATACAGTACAGTATGGAGTCCATTTAAAACAGTAATTACAATACATGAAAATAAATACCCTTTCTAAAGAAAGTACATTCTAACAGTGTCATTGCTGACAACAGAGGGGCACTGCTGTTTTAAAGTGAGTTTTGGATTAGTTGTATTTCTTGTCAAGTGACATCAGATTTCAGTTACTTTCCATTAATTTAAAAAGAAAATGACTGATATCACCTTACTTGGAGAAACCCAGAGTGCTGTGCTTTCAAAAAGAGAAAGACGTGATTGATGGTGTTGTGCCACTAATGAATTAACTAGAAAACAGTATACTTGGGGATATTATGTTTGTCTACAAAGAGCCAGTAATCAAAACACAAATGAAATTTGTTGCTAATCAGTAAGGTGCTAAGCCTTAAAGCCTTCAAAAATTAAACTTCAAGCAGGAATAATAAATCATTGCCATCTAAGGCTGGTACTTTTTTTAAGAAAGTTATCCAAAAGCCTGCTGTTTTTTTACAGAATGCCTTCCTGATGGTATAGTCCAGTTGTATTTTTCACTCTTTTTTTTCTATTGTAATTGAATGCTTTCTTTTCACGATTTACTTTAAGCATTGTTTCCTGTTGGCAGCAGCAGGACTGTTTCTTTATCTGTGGTACTGTATGATGTATCTGAAGGGCTGCAGAAAGTGGCTCACACCAAGGGTCTCAAATTCAGCTCCTGCAGGCCCTGTGTCTGCTGGCTTTTGTTCCATTCTGAGTAGCAAATTAAACAATCCGATTATTTATTATGTTCATTTTCTTAGTCTTTTACAGTTGATTAAACATTCACTATATTAAAGACACCTGCAAAACACCTCAGAGCCTGGTTGGAAATTATACCGCTAATTAAATAATTACACTAACTGTGTAAGTGAACAAGCTATGACAAAAACAAGACAGTAGACCTCCAGTAACTGAGTCTGACCACTGGCTTTCACACTTGAAATACTGGACTGCAGTTTATCTCTAGAAGAAATCATCACTGTCCTGGAATGTATTTATTTAAGGTCATCCTGTTAATTACTTGTTGTGTTCTATTTTGCTTCAGCATCTTGAATATACTGTATCTCTCTGGCTGAATTTTGTAGTCTTGACTTACACAGTAAATCAAGCATGAATGCCCATGTACTGTATTTGAATGTGCTGCTAGAATATTAATGGGGGTTTCTGTGGTATCTTAATTTAAGAAGAGTTTAAGAGTTTTAGTAAATATCACCAGAAGGACATAACATTAACATACAGAACATATTAGAGGAAAGATGTTTTACACTACTTGCCCTGAAAGAACCTCAGCAACTAATTTAATTCAATTTACTTTACATTGCTTCTCAGCATTTCATGTGTTTTTTAGAAAAAAATAAAATTTGGTTTTCTTCTTGATTTCAGCAACAATTGTTTATATTTTCAGAATGATTTCCATATTTATGCCCTTTGACACTGATGCTGCATCTATGACGAACCTCATGGATCATGGGCAGGTAGGAAAAATGAAACTCACACTGGTACAAACTTTGATGACCGAAATATTTCTAAAATTAAACTTTAAAAAGTGAGTCATTATACACATTTTAAAGACTGCAGGTTTCACAGCAACTGACATCATCTGAAAAAAGGGAAACTACTGTAAAAAATGTTCTTTCTGGTTCTGTAAGGTCAAATACATTATTTTGCTGTAGTCGATGATTGCAGGCGATGCTAAGCAGAGAAAAAAGCCTGCAGTTACTGTATGTTACAGCACATGTGTCACCAATTTATACAGTAGCTTTCATGTATTGTATTTGTAGAATTATTTGATAAAAAGCTAACCCCTACAAATAAGACAATATTCTGCTAATTTTCTATGTAAGATCAAAGACTGCAATTTCATTTACTTTCGTTTTATTTCCAGCAGCACCAAAGCATTATTTTCCTAAAATTTACCTGTTTGCTAATATTGCTTTGCTGGAATGAAAAATGTGATCATGTGAAATGTCTAGAGTTTAGGACTGGTGTGTATATTTTTCTAGGCTTGGACAACTGACTCATAAATTTAGGTAACCGGATTTTACCTAAATTACACACCAAGAAAATGATGTGGTCTTGAAAATGATAACCTAATTAACACCCAAGTATTTGGTGTAGAAAATGTTTGCACAGACTTAGAAAGCAACAAGATATAGCTCCATGAATTGTATGTGTATAAGCTCTCCTGATTCCATTTGATCACTGAAGAACTCATTACTCATTACTCATTATTTAATAATTATTTTTAGTGTATAAGGCAGCAAAACAATGAATTTCCTTAAGGGTGTAACACCATATGGAGAAAAGCCATCTTGAAACAGGAATATTTAGTCTGCATTGTATTGAGATACTAAAGCAGGAAATAAATAAGGATTAAAGCAGCCTGAGTGGGATTTTCATCGAGGCACAGAATATAAGGCTTGTAGTATTCCCATCTGGACCAAGCATTTAAAACAGAAAAGAATCTGTGGGATATGTGACGAATACAAAGTGTGCTTCTTTCTCATGAAGATTATCATTGATGTTTTTTCCCCTCTTAGTTTACATAGCCAGCAGCTTTACACTCATTTTTGGAGCACACTTTACTAGGAGACAGCGAATGGAACCCACCTGATTCCATCAGGATTCCAGAAGTAAATTAATTATACAGATGAAAGGGTGCTACACAATGTGAAGTGACTTATTAACATGAAAACAATAGTGTGTTACACATCCAAAAATATGGTCATGTAACACAGTATTTTCATCAAAGACAAGGTTGTGATTTTTCCATGGTGCTTTGTGTGAATGTAGTAATAATAGAATTAAACATGTGTAGGTGATATAAGAGATTTGAATCCTATTATGAAAACGTCCACATTGGTTGGAATTTAACATAAAGCAAAACATTTTTCTCCTGAAAGCCAACATCATGTTTCTTCTCTCGTGCAAGTAAACATTACTGATCATAAAATGAAGTGACAGTTAGCAAAAAGTCTGTCATACCAAGGAACCTGACAGTTCTGCGCACAAATGGGTTGAGGTAACAGCAGTCTCCAGTGACTATGGTCTTCTCACGGTTGTCAAAATCTTTTGTAGCATACTGAAGGAAAAACAGCACAGATTCTGTAATTGTTATCTAAAAAGGGAGAAAAGAGAGAAACTAAGTTAGAAATTAAGTTGCTCAGGAATAATGCAAATTAGTGATGATATTCAGTTCTCAAATCCTCTGCATAAAGTATTGGTTTCATGTGCATGTGACCTTCACTGAAAGAATTCAAGTGGCATCTGAGAAGCATATGCCTATGCTACTTACTGTATGCAATGTTATACTGTCAGTAAAGCACATTTTTAGAACTTTTAAAATGTAAGATACACATTGAAATTGATCATTCTGATTTGATGGGAGATTATTTCATAAATAAGAAGGTAAAATCAATTGCGATACTACTGAACTGCACTAAGAATCACACATTACACACTAAACAATATTTACACATTCTAAAGTTAAAATGCAAACCATTTGTAATTGAATCAATATACAGTATAGCACTTCTCTATTTTAGTGTTACTGCACTGTCATACCCTAAATTACACAATACTGCTTTATACTGTATGTTACATGGTAAGGTGGAGATGTCAGACACTATACAACAATATGAATTACTGATATACAAAGCCTACTGTATATATTATTCATTTTTTTAACTATCATATGAGTCTGTTTATTATTCAGAATTAGCACAGATTAGAGGAAAGCTGTTGAGACATTCCTCTTTACCATTTTCCTAAGTGCAAATAAGAACATACACACATTACAGAAATGTATGGTTGACAGATTGTCACTTCCTCATGTACTAAAGGCATTTGAAAGTACATACATTGGGTAACTGTCATTGCAAATGACATAAGTAATGCAAAAATGTCATTTTGTCAAGCACAAATGCTATGAGCATTTGTTCCATGTGTCTTTTTTATCTTTAAACACTGTGGACATTTGATCTTGAAGATTCAGTCATCAGCCTCCTGGGGTATTAATAATAGTTATTCTATTTCAACATACAGTACCTTAAAAGCAGCCATCAGAAACAGAGGCACTATAAAATGTAACAATAATTTTTGAAAACAGCAATTTTAAAGAATGTTGTGCCACGTTCCTTACTTTTTGAATAAGTATTTAGCAATAAAATTGCCAGCTCTATATTTAATGCATCACTGGCACAGTAATACAGGTCAATTTGCAGTCACAAATTATTTCACAGTACAAAATATTTGATTTGCTTACAGCTCAATATTTCAAAATGCTAACATAACAATTCAGTATTCAAAACATGTATAATTTATTAATGCAATGTTTGTCTTGCACCTTATGTTAGGTGTAAATGTACAAATGTGTAAATTCAATATAACTTTGAAGAACAGTCAGATAGCTTGATATACATTTTTCTGAACACTGAAGTGAAATCAGTTTCTCTCGTGGTAGGTTTATGTGGTACTTTTATTTAAGCCTTTTATTGTGCTTTGAATAATAGCAGGCTGTGACAATGATAATAAATCTCAGATTATGGGGAAAATACTTTAATACTATGAAACCAAAAGTGTGCTTTTAAACTGAGTTATAAAATTTTTATTTGAGGACTTGAGATTTTTTTCAGTTTTGCATATCTTAGGCAGTAACCGCAAGCAGCAATGGCTGGCATTGCTGCCTCACGGTGCTGGGGCCTTGGATTCCATTCCAGACTTGGGCTGCTGTCTGTGTGGAGTTTGCATGTTCTCTCCGTGTTTGCATGGGTTTCCTGGTGCCCTGGTTTCCTCCCACAATGCAAAAACATGCTGGTGAGTTAATTGGCTTCTGGCAAAATAGGCCGTAGTGCGCGTGTCTTCGCCTGTGTGTCTGCCCAGTGATGGACTGGCATTTCGGCCAAGGTATAACCTGCCTTAGGCCCATCGCTTGCCGAGATAGGATCTGGGTCCCCCATGACCCTTAATTGGAAGAAGCAGTTAGAAAATAGACAGATGGATGGATATATATGAAAACTGAAACAAAAGGAAATACAAATGTTACATCTTGATGATTCATTACTAGCAGATTACTCTGTTAATGATCATGAAATATTATGCCTGTTGAAACGGTAGAAAACATACCCCTTTTTGCACTCCTTGTTACCACCTGAGTGTGATATGACAAAAAGGGTAACAGCATATGGGCGGTAATTATATACTCTGTATATGCTTGTACTGTAAGTAAACGAGTGAACAGATAACCTATGCACACATAGAAAGCCAATAGATCTGCCTGTTTTAATCATACTATAATGAAAGGTAAGGAAAGGGAAAGGTTATTCAATCTATCTACCTTCACAAGACTCCAGGACAGTTCTCAACAGACAGGAAGCTGCATATTGTATTGTACTGTGTATTTTACTTGAGCACACCTACTGTAAATGAACACTATCATTCCAGTACTGTAAGTGGATATACTGTAACAAGGCATTATACAGTACCATTGGCATGGGTAAAATAAGATCAGTGGATCCTTGGTCATCTCAAATGTTCAATTTTACTTTATGAAGCACTTTTCCTTGATAAATCCTGTTGATAGCATTTATGTTATCAATAATTAATCAATAATGGAATATCAATAATTTGGCTTTTCTTGTTAAACTTGATATTTTATATCATTTTGTCCTGATATTGCATATAACCTGAAACTATCTATCATCACATACTTTACATGTTTATTTTATATTTGTGAAGGTCCTAATATATACTGTATATTCTGTAATTGTAGTTTTTATGCTTTCATAATGTATTATCATTAAATACACCTCATCAAAAAAATGAGTTGAGTCACATTACTTAACCTTAAGGCAAACACATGTGTAGTATGTAATGAGCAAAACTGAAAAGTCACTTTGTTTTTTTCCTTACATTGTTTTAAGTGGGCTGACCACATCAAGCTCCTGGTCATGTCATGATAACTTAGTTAGCTAGAGGCAAACAGCTGCATGTGAAAAGCAGTATACAAGCAATGGGAAAGGGCTGCTCTTTTAAAAAATTACATTTCTGCCATTCAGTGCTGTAGCTAAACCTCTTCTGTCTGTATTTTATCCTTGGCTACATACAGTATAATGTACTGTATGTAGTATGCATATGTGCACTAAGGACTGTAAAGAAAAATGCACATTGTATGTAAAGAAATTAGTTTAAAATAATTTACCTAGAATTATTATAAACATTCTGCTTCAACCCACTTAGTTGTAATTCAATATTTAGTCCAGGTAACATAGACCATAGATTTATATAAATATTATATATAATTTATATAATAATTGTTTGAGTTGCAGCCAAACCTTAAAACATATTTTAGGATGTGCATCTAATAGGCTAGATTAAACCTCAAACTTCAGTATAACCATGAAGCACTCAGAAAATCCCTTAATATCTTCTTGCATTTTAAGCAATTCATGAATCCCTGAAGATGAAATGCTAAAAGCTTTATATTAGTTCAGCTCTCTATAGCTCGGAACATTTGATGGTGCAAAATATTTTATTGCAATTTTCCCATTAGTCACCTTTTGGGATTTGACAGACTGGCACACTGTACAATTCATGCATGATGATGAGATTATAATTTATCCCTGAAACATGGATTTGTCTTTCTCATTGTACGATTTCAACAGAGATGGAAAAACAAGAAATAGTGTGTTTTGAAATGGACAATAATGTCTGTTAATAATTGTAAGGGTTTAATTCACATTTGATTAATGTGTTTTGCATGCAAATCAAGATCAATTAGATATTCAACATGCAGATAACTAATAAAGATTATGTGTTGTTTTGTGTAGAAATCATTAAAATTAAAACAAAGGGAATAAAGAGATGTTTTTGTAATGTAACATTTTCCAGTGTATGGCATGCCCATTTAATACTTCTGACATTAAAAATAATCTATATTCAATAATCAGTAAAGTTACTTACAGTATTTTCAGTATACAGCAGCAGTGCCACCTCCTACCCTGACTGCAACACACCTCTGAAGCCAAGCAAGACTAGAACTATTCAGTACCGGGCTGGAAGACCTCAAAAGAAAACCAGGTTGTTGGATGGTAATAATAGTGGATTGGTAGATAGTTCTTTTCCCTCTGGACCAATAGTTCTAGACTAATTCCCCAGAATTGTACTGCGCTGTAGGAGGTAGAAGATATTAAACCAAGGTCCTTACATCTTTGTCAGTAACGATCCCGTGTGAGGTGGGAATACTCATTGACATGTACTGTACTCAGCTATATTTTTTAAATGTGTATGCTCGAATAGTGTTTCTTAGATCCATTCTAAATAATGAACATGCTTCATATGGGTATTATACCTCAGAGAGCTTTCTTTGCAAAGCATAATGCATGTCAGTGTAGACATAATATATTTCTCCCTAGGCACCCAAACGGTTATTATTTGTGCTGTCCTATCAGTAACAAGAGGAATGTAGTTTTACTTTTAGTTAGCTTTTTGTCCTTCCAGTAATCACATTTCTTATATTTAAATGTATGACATCTCAGCTAAACGATAATTCTCAGCTCCTTTTTTTACAGTTATAGTACTACATCAGGCTTCTTCCATCTCCAGATCAGTCTGAACAAGCCCAAGGCTTCATTCTGACAAACAAAAGGCAAATCTGGATGGAAATAAATTAGTACATTTAAGAGACCAAAATTTTCTAAACAGCTCATTTGTAATTGATTTATGTCCTTGTTTGCACAAAGTGGACACTATATACTGTATTATAGCATTTTTTTACACAGAGGTTTTAATTCACAGGTTGTCATTTTACTTCCTATATTGGCTTCTAAAGATGCATGACCCTTGTAATGGCATTAGGGTCCAAACCATTATAGTAGCTTTTACCAATGAACACTGTTACCTCCATTGTGAAAAAAAGGTTGATATGGCATGCATTCTTATCAGAAAAGAGTGGTTTATTAATCCTCTAGGATTCATGTAGAGCCTGGAATGACACAGTTTGACATATTTCTCTATTTTCTTCAATTGTTTGAGCATTTTTGTCAGTGAGACAATTAAATTGGAAAGTATTGTCCATCAACCCATCCGTCTTCAATTCCTGTTAAAGAGCAGGCAAAATTG